GAGTTGAATAACATTTTTACTTAATAATAGTTGCCCAATAGTTGTGCACACAGAGCTTAAACATCACTGTTACTTTTTGAAATAGTCTGATGTTTATCAATGTTTATTTTTTGCACACAGTGGAAAAGGTGGACATTTAGTTTGCTGCTGCAGGCTTTTTATTTGGAAAGAAACAAAAACAGACTGATGCTCCAAATCAAATCTTTTTTGGGTGGATTGATCGTTTAAAAATGAGGCCCACTTACCCTCAGCAACAAGGGCATCCTCTTTCTGCCAGGGATAAAAGGAGAACAGTAGATATTAAATGAACGGATGCTGAACAAAGAACATAACTCCAGCTTTTCACAAAAAAAAAAGGCAGAGAAATTGTTAGATCAGAGAAAACAAACATATTTCATAATCATGCTTACCAGAGAGAAGTATTTTCATCATACCCAGTTATATAGAACCCATCTTTACTCACCTGACCTGTATTTGTTGCAGTCATTTTGCAGAAGGTCTGCAGATCTATGCAACCCCACATGCTCAGGTCAAATCAGCTTTGTGGGCACATCACATAAATGAAGCAGGTATGTGTACACGAGTTCTTCAGCAAACTGATCCTGATGGTACTCTGGAACCTTTAACTTTTATACCAACCAACCTGAGAAAGCTGTGAGTTTCTTGTTTATTTTAAAAGCTCCACTTAGCCAAAAATGTCCACTTTTATACTTACTAGTTAAATGTCCAGGTAGAAGTGTACGGAGATCCTTCGTGAAAAGGAAGGATCACAGAAGATTAAATCGAAAACGATTTAATCTCCTGTGACAATCAAGTGAACGACAAAGTTCCAACAACATCAAATGCAGCAGAAGTAAAGTCCAAAGCAATTACTGCAGCCAGAAATGAGACTGAAGATGATGGCAGGTCACTGTTTCCACTGCCTTTCAGAAGCCAGATTTTTTATTTATTCCTGTGAAACTGTTTGATGCACATTTACCTGAGAAAGGTCAGTCTCCTCAGTGCTCTGTCAGAGAAGGGTCTTCTAAAACTTTCCCCTGGAATGTCAGGAGAGGTTGTGTTCATCTGGATGTCCTGCACTGAGCCATCAGCAGCGACAGTGAAGATTTGTTTGCCAACATTGTTTTTATACCTTTACTTGTTCCAAGAAGAAGTTCAAAGATCTTTTTGAATGAAAAGAAAAAGTCCTATTTAAAAAAAAATCATGTTTAGTAAGTTTATCAACAATTAGCCTAGGTTGGAGTCTACTTTCAGAGTTTACAGAGCAGTCAGGCTGCTGGCTCTGCTGGATATTGGAGTCAGGTCTCCCCTCTTAATGCTGCTGTAACATCCACCAGTAAAGCAGTAATTTTCCTTTCATTTATCTTTCACAACAATTAGTTTTAAGATGATTTGAAGTGCAAACTAAATGTGTATTCTCATGTTATTATCGCCACCTGATGAACTGAAGATGTACTGCAGTTTTTCTCAAAAACCCAACGGTCTTTCAGACCTATAAGAAAAGCTAACAAATTTACCAGAATGTATATTGCCCAGGTAATATCCCATCATGGGGCTTTAAAGATGACTGATGAGAGGGAAAATGGCAAAAGCTAATGACATATTATATATATATATATATATATATATATATATGTGTGATTCAAAGGTAATTTCCATCATCTTTTTTATGTGGTGGTTCTGAAAGTTGGGCTCCTGCCCTGAGGTGTTCTCATGAATGGTACGGTACTGAGACAGTGCTAAAAAAAAAAAAATCCACTCATATATATAAAAAGAAGAATTCATAACAATAAATCTTCATATATATATAAAGATTATTAAAATTACAAGACAAAACAAAAATCCATGCCTAGATGTTATATTATTTATATATATATATATATATATATATATATATATATATATATATATATATATATATATATATATATATATATATATATATTAGTGGTGGGCATAGATTGATTTTTTTTTTAAATCTAGATTAATCTCACTGTAATCTTGGAATTAATCTAGAATAATATCGCTCATTTGAATTCTGCCAAAGGCATTCATGATGTGTGTGTGCTACCTCGAGAATTTAAATGAAAAGATTTACTTATCACAAGTAATTTTGTCTTCTTATTTTAAATTTTTTACAAAGTTATACATTTTTTTTTTTTTGCTCGTTTGTTACTGTATTTCACTCAAAATAGTGTCCCACTTCCAATTATAGATGTCCTCTGACGCACTCGTCGCCTCAATCAACTTCTGATCTTTAGCGGCTTTTTCCATGGCGTAATGGTCATGTTTTCTCCTTATGATAGACCGCCTGGCAGGTACTCTTTAAGATGGGTCACCTGTGGCCGCCTGGAGAACAAGCTTAAGCCCCATGCTGATGGGCTGGCCTTTTGAGGTTATCCACTGAGCGAGGAGATTTGTTAGCTTGGCTGATAGAGCTGTGCTTATAGCTGCATCCATGTCAGCACGTCACGTTCGATGTGGTAATTTCACAGTACGCCTACACAGGTTGGAAGACTGATTCCTTCACACCCACAGATATACATCCATGCTAAAACATCAAGGTGAGAGTCATTATTAGCATAGACCCAGCTCCCAACCCAACTTTGAGAATAGATTGACGATAATATTTCTTTTTTTTTTTCCATTTTCAGTTATTTTGAGAACCAGAACCAGAAAAGTTTGGGAACTACTGGTGTTGTTCCCACATATATGGTTCCGAGAATGCACTGGCTGTATAGGATAGTTTAGGATTACCTCAATAATCCCAGCATCAGAAAAGTGAAAGCCGGACGAATGGATGTATAATTCAAACAAAAGGGGACTGCTGCTGGAGTGAATGTTGCAGATCAGGACAGATCCTCCCAAAGAAATAAAACGTATCTTAGGTGTAAACTTCCAATACTTACCTAAATGAATGCATGTAATATCTTCAGGGCTTGTGGAAAAGAAAACTTGCAAGGTTCTTTTTTATAAGAGGTGCTGACAATAGACATGTGAGACGAAGTCTTACTCTGAGCTGGTTGAAACTTTCCTCAAGAATGAATATATTCGGTGTAGCAATCACAACGTGAAGCAGAGCAGCAGCTACAGAGGAAGCTGGGTAGTCCGGATCAAGCAGGAATCCATCTTCTCAAGTTTCCACCTCAGAGTTTGTGAGCAAACCAACGTATTTTATACCAAGCGAGTGGAAAAAAGGAGAAATGGCTGACTTGGTGGTCCATTAAGAATGATTAAACACACAAAAATCTTAAGCGTATTGGAAAAGTTTTTCTTGCTTGTTTCCACAAAAAGTCCCACCATTTCTTTCAGTCTTCAAGCTCCATATTTTTCTTCATGTGATAATGTAACAACATAGGTATATACAAATCTGCTTTTCAGTTAAATAAAACAACTATTTTTATTTGTGTAGTTTGAGCAAGAATTGGATCCAACAAGTATAATTTAAGGAACCTAAATATTTAACCTTTTTATGAAGCTATTTTCATTGCTCAGAACTAAAATTCTAAAACTGACTAAATAAATGATTGCTAATCATCTGTATTTGAGGGAAGAAAAAAAAATTTGCAATATGTTTACCTTTAAATGCCCCGGAGAGGTCAGGTGTATCTTGTAGAGGCTGTTACCTTTTAAGGACTTTTCACAGACCTGTTTTAAACAGAGGTGAAGTCTGAGTCAGGTTGGACATCATTCATTAAAACACAAACATCATATTTTTTTAGAGTAAAAGGCAATTTGTGGTTAACTTATAACAGGTTTGTTTACCATCAGAGATTCATTTTAATTACAGTGCTATACAAAAAATTGGAAGAGTTTTCTAATTAAGGAGTCCTGTTTCAAAAGGGATCAAAATGATTAAAATGATCAAAAAGAGGCTTGTGCATTTTTATTTCTATTATTCATTTTATTTCCAATGATGCCCTCACAGGAGGCAGCTATATTGTTTTTAACACCCATCTTCTCTCAGTTAAAAAAACAAAACAAAAATAAATTTAATATTGTAATAAAAATCCTACTCTGTCCCCAACCCTTCAGAATAAAAGAACTAGATAGATAGATAGATAGATAGATAGATAGATAGATAGATAGATAGATAGATAGATAGAATTACTTTTTTTTTTATGTCTGGCATTCAAAAGAAGCAGACAAAAAAGAACATTGCATTTTAACTCAGGCTATCTTGGGGGGAAAAAAAGGTATCAATTTCCAGACATAAACAGAATGCTAAATGCTAAAACTAAACGATGGCTAGCTATAATCACGGTATACAATCAAATTTAGAAATGTACAACTTAATTTTATCTTTGCCACATCTCGGATACGCACAATTAAATCTATTTAAGCAACATAACCCACAGTCTATACAGTTTTATATTTGCAAGCCGCATAATTGTCATGCCTGCCTTGTAGGCTAACGCTAGCCTGGCGAAGCTAACCTTATGAACCATGTTGCATGATCGCTTTCACTTCATTTCCAGGCTTCATGCTCAGTCGCTGCTGCAGTGGTTAACTCACCGTGCATTCAATAAAACCATCGTCCTCTTCGTATGGTGTTTCCAGGTGATCCATCATTTTTAACGATCACTAACGAGATATTTATTAGCTTAGCAACTGTTTACCTGAAAGCAATTCAGCCTTGCTATGTTTTTCTGCAATGTTGCAAAAGATTGCGCGCCAATTTGAGGCTGTTAGTACTAATTTAACAATATAAGATGCTCTGAAAACATGTTACAATGGATGTGGAAAAACGAAACGCTTCATAATTCAGGCTACTTCCTGGGTGTTAGTGCAGCCTCTTCGAAAGCTCCAAAGGGGCGGGATTATTTGAATCAAGCGTTCCGAAAATAAAAAAAGAAGCCCCGATGAAGAAAACAAACGTACACGCAGGAAAAAAAATGTTCTGAAAGGAGGACTACGCCCCCTTCTGGTCGAACTTCAATGGGTCAATAGACAACACACTGAAAATCTCTTACTTCAGGACTTTATACGTTTTTTTTATGTTTATTATATTTTGTATCACGAAGCATTTGCTTTAAAGGGACACAAAACTGTTTTTAGTGTAGCTCAGAGAACTGCTTCCCTTTTCTTCACTGCATGACGCATTTGTTTGAAACTAAAAAGCATCACAGTAAACAAGAAAACACACTTCTTCACATAATGTGTAACACTACAGGTAAAATATATACCCAAGCTACTTGCATTTGATCTGGTTGTTAAAAGCAAATCATAAACAGTTATGATTTCTTCAATATTTACAAACTAATGTGTTTACATTGAGCAAAGATCTCACACAGTCCATTCACAAAAAGGCTTTATGAAAAGCATCAACAGACATGATTTGCTTCACAAAACTCAGATTTCTACGTTTTCTGAGAATCCTAAAATATACTTTTTTTTCTTCCATCCATACACTTTATAAAATTAGTGATTCCAGCTTGAGTGACTGCCATAGTGATCTCTAACAAAAAGCTTCATACACGCAAGTGTGGAAAAAAAAATAAAAGGCATATTAGCAAATAAATCCAAATACTGGGACACATGGATCATCACACTCTGGTGCAAAACATCAAATCCCAACACTTTAAAGCTGTTAAAGTCAGACTGCAGGGGTAAACACATGAAAGTCCTGCCATACAATCGTAACTTATCCTTAAATTAAAAAGCCGAGTTTGGACATGGAGATGTAGACACTTGGGCTCAAGAGACACAAATAAATAGTCCAGTGGAGATCGGCAAGAACAGATGCTTTGTTCACATGAAAGGTTTGCTGAGGCGGTGAGTGGGCCGTCATTTGGAGGAGTTGCGGCGTCCTTCTGAAAGATTACTGAGACGCAATCGCAGCTCTTTTCGGACCTGAGACACCCTCATCAGTTTCCTCTTGTACTCCTGAAAAGTTTCCCAACAAAAGATAAATTAGAAGCTGTGTTAAAAATATATATATATATATTATTTGACTTAGTTCGAGCTTCATTAAAGCCCTTTATCACCACAAATACTACAATCTGCATCAAACGGATATTTAATATTTATATACAAAAACACGTGCGCTGAATATGAATTCTGAAGAAAACACTTTAAAGTTTAATTTATTACAAAAATACCATACGTCAGTATGTTTATAAATACATGCCCTTGAGACTTAATATCATCTTTAAATTGCATTGGTATTCAAAAAGTATCATTTAATTCTGCTGTATTGCCTTGGATCAACTACTCTTATTCAAATGTTGCATTTTTTACACATTAAAGTTAAAGTTAATTTGAAGATTTGTATATTAAAACTGGCCTGCTGCTGTAACTAGCATTGGATTAAATAACATGGTTGCAATACAGGGGGGAAACTTTTTAATGCACCTCAGTCAAAAAATATTTTTAAAAAGTATTTTTTTTTTTTTTTATCCATTACCCAAAATGAATTTGCTTTTTTTTAGCTGTCTAATAAGTAAAACTGGAAATTCTTCTGCTGTAGTGGGTAAGTTAATTATGATTACCAAGCCACAGAGCCAAATAAAAGCACGCAAACTTTTCAGTCTTTTATTTTCATTTTTATTAAACATTTTAGTGAAAACATGCGATATACTTTTTCCTCCTGGATTCCTGTGGATAAAAGCTGCACGCCGCTGTCATAACAAAAAGAAGCACGGTTACTGGAAAACAATTTTGTTTTTTGTTTTGTGAGAGATCACGGAGTGTAAATACTTACCATAGGAGGAATTTAGAACCTGTGAATTGGACTAAAAGAAGTAACCTGAAATCATTTCTTAACAGTTGGACACTTCATTTGAGGAATTAATTGAAACTCAAGTTTCCCTTCAGATGTGAAACCAACTTTAATCTCACTAATAATACAAATGAACCCTATAACTGAACAAGAGTATGATAAAATGTGATTCGGACAGAAGAGTGAAATACTAGTAAAGAAAAACAGGAGTGATGTACGCACTTCAAGTTTCTGCTCGTTCTGGGCCAAGCCATCCTTCTGGCTCTGCAGGAAGGCCGTCAGCGTTCGGGTAAGCTGCCTCCTGTCATCGATCTCAGCGGCCAAGCGACCGCTGTAGTCGGCTAGGAGCATACAGGCTTCTTCCACCATCCTGGACAGCCGCTCGCCCGATTCCTTGTCTGAAACAAAAAGAAAAAAAGAGGGCAAAACTCGCTTTGAAATGTTGCAAAGTGCAGAGCTTAACGCTACACATTAGAATAAGGTCACTAAGCCATATTTAGTTTACAATTTGGCAACAACATTAGGATTTATTCTGGATATACAACTCCATATTTCTCAGCCACAGATCTGTGTGGAGGAATGGGCCAAAATCCCTCCTGCATTGAGTGCAAACCTGGTGGAAAAACTACAAGAAATGTTTGACTTCTGGAATTGCAAAAAAGGCTACTGTAACAAATATTAACATTTATTTTCTCAGGTGTTCAAATACTTATTTGCAGCTGTAACTGAAAAATAAATAGTTTTTAAAAATCCTGTATTGAGATTTCTGGAACTTTTTTTTAGATCATGTCTCTCACAGTGGACATGCACCTACGATGACAATTTCAGATCCCTACATAACTTCTAAGTGGGAGAATTAGCAAAATAGCAGGGTTTTGAAATACTTATCTTCCTCACTGTAAATGATTACACATTTTGTCACCCGAATACTTAAATGGGCTATATCTTGCAAGATGAACTTTTGGGGATTCAAAACTTATTATGTTACTTTTGGTGATTCTGCACAGATTGAGTAATCCTTAACAATAGTTTTCTACCAGGCAGCTCCACCCACATCTCTAACAGGAGTTGCTCTGATTTCACCCTCGCAACGGGCCATAATATTTTCCTACTTTTGTTGTACATTGTACGTTCTTGTGTAAATAATCATGAATGATCCTGGTAAAAAAAAAAGTGTCCCATAAGGGAGAAATGCTCATGAGAAATGCAGCTATGCATAATTACACCGCACTGTTAGACGTCAAAATTTTAATTATTTTATCTGAAATTGTGTGAAAAACATGTCTAGTAAAATCAATAGTCAATGATGGAGGCAAGAGGAACGACATTATGATCAGGGTTAATACAGAAAACCCACTGTTTAAGCTACTACCTCTACAAAATCAATCATATTTCTTGGCTATGACCTCCACCTGCACCTACTTTAGAATACTATGGAAGTGTTTGTGAAGATGTTTTGAAACAGCTCCCTGACACCGTCACTTGAGAAGTGTGAGAGGTGCTTGGCTGCAGTTTTTAGGCACAAGAAAACCTCAGCACTGATCTGGGGTCAGAGAGGTCTGCTGCCCTTAGCTCAACTTAAAATTGTACTTGAGCTTCTATGTGTAACACCATATATACTCTGTGCAATTTGCCAAAACTGTTCACAGAAACATTTAGTTTTTCTGCACACTTTGCAAAAAGCCTATCAGTCATTTTGCATGACCTGCTTTAGCCAGTGTTTGAAAAAAGTAAAGTGAATATTCCATAAGTCCGATTGATATGTAAATTTAAAAAATACATTTTCAATCTGGGAATCTTACATATCTTAAAGGTATAGTGGAGATTTGTTTGCAAATTTTTTTTAAAAGACCCGCCCTCTCGAAAAAAAAAAAAGCACATGCACGACCCTGTACCCGTGAAGGAACGCCTATTAAGCGTGTGCAAAAGCCCATTTCTCCTACTGCAAACTGTTTAGAAGTTGCCGTATGCATGGTTCGTACAAGCTTACTTTCTAAAAGAAGATATGCAATTTTTCCACCATGTCTGATTAACCACCGGTAAATGAAAATGTGGACGAGCACGTAGGACGGCCTTATGTAAACATATCACTAGAATGATTGACAATTAGGGGGACAACTTATTTTGATGATCCATCCGTAAAACGAACATTCTCCACTATACTTTTACGTCCAGCTCACAGAATGAAACATCAAAATATTAATATCACGCTAGTTTAACAAAAATATTAAATGTACATGATTGGTTTTTTCTATTGAACTCAATAGTCTGAGTTAATAAACTTAAAATATTTCAGTTTTATTTTTAAGATAGAGTTATAAAGTTTTATAGTGAGCCAAATTTGTGAAAACATACAATTTACCCAGATCAGGCCCAAAATGACTAGTTTCAACATATAAGGCAGGTCCAAAATGACATGTTATGAAAAGCAAATAAGCCAGCAGAACCAATTGATTCCATCAAAGTCACCTCAGATCCAACTATACAGTTAAACTTCTTATACAGATTTTAAAATTAAACAAACTTCAAAGGAAAAAAGTCAGCATCAGTGGAAAATTCACAACATATTGAAGGGATGATGAAAAATGTACAACCTTTTACCATCCTGTATAAACCCTGATGATGTAAATAATTAATGTGAGGTTGCCATCAACCAACAAAACAACAACATTCTGCTTAATCTACTTTAAGTGCAATTGGAGGGAGGGGGGGGATGAAAAATAAATGTTACTTCTTCATACCTCTTTTCAGACATTTTCCATTAATCAGGTGAAATTGAGTTTAGTACTAACCAGTCACTTTTTATGTGTATTTGGTTGTTTGATTTTTTTTTTAAGTTGATTTATTTATTGTTGTTTGTCAAAAATTGTCTGAAATAAAATTATTTTAATTCATTCATTTCATTCATAATAACATGGACCCTTGCTTCCAAGTAAATCAAATGTAGCCATTTAGTGAAAAACTGGATCACTCATAAAAACTGTTCATTGCTGAGAGAAGATGAGACACAGGAGAAAAATTGTGAATGTGACATTTTCTCCTTAATTACCCATACGAATTATTTAAAAACAAATGCTTCTTGCATGAGGCCCACTGAGTTGGTGTGAGGTCCATTATCCTCTTCCCCCACTGCAATGTTATAGATGGGAGCTCTGAACCAACACACTTTACCTTGGCCAGTACCAAAGTAGACTCAACACCTGTTTATTCCTTGAACAAAACACACTGTGATCGACAGGAAACACCAGTAAGTTAATCAGACTTTGATCAAGCTCTATTCTTAAGTGATGTTGTGCTAGCTAAAAAGTTACAGCATTACTTCGCCGTAGGTGAAGTGTGCATAAAATTTACGCTGCCGGATGTCTAACTGCTGATGCTGTGTTTGATTTCAAACTGTTGTAAAAGTTTATTCAATGGTATGCGAACAGCTTCACGTAGCTCATCCTAGTGATTTTAATGATTCGGGCAGCATCACAGAAAACAGTAAAAAGTGTCTTTGTTCAAATTGGAAAAACAAGACTGGAAAATAAGCTATATTCTGTGATAAATTAATACTTTATGGTGCAAAAGGCAATATTTAATCATACACATGAATAGAGGTGAATTTGGATGGCATAAAAAGCTTGATATCACAGAATTTTTAAATTTTAGGTCTTTTATGGCTCCACAACTTAAGGCTGAATTTTCTGCCCATTCCTCTCAGACTGACTGGATGGTGAGAACCTGTGAATATTAATGTCCAAATCTCGCTGTTGCTAGTGAGCTGGATTTATGTTGGGACTTTGACATTCTCGGATGTGAACGTGTCTGAACCACTGCATCCTAACTGGCTTAGACTGCTGGAAGGTGAATGTCTGAACAGGACTGCCCTTTCTTCACTTTCATCCCCCTTCTCAGCCTTCGTTCTTATAAATAACAGCAGCCCTCCTGCAGCCAGATGCTCTCACCATCATGTTCCATAAGGAGGATTTGTTAAGAATTGCTGGCAAAGTTAGCAGTTTTAGCTACACAAATTATTTTGCATGTCAACCAGAATATTTTTGCAGTTTGTTCTACATGATTTATCAACATATTGCCTTACCTGAGGTTAGCATCTCTGCAGCTGCTCCAAGAAGACAAATAAAATATATAAAAAAGAAAGCAGTTTCCCTGGAAAAACTCAATTAAGTATATAACAAGCATAAAACAATTTGTCTTAACTGAAGGAATCCACCTGGTCCTCTATTGATAAACATGTTATGGTAAAAATGTACGTTAGGTCTCCAGTGTTACTCTTAACTTAAGGGAGGAGCTTTGGGCCCTTCTTTCTCCAGATTGGCTCGTCCAGTTGATGCCAAAAGGCTAATTTTGATCTCATCTCACTAGAACACTTTTTTACCAAGCCTCTAAATCTTTTAAGTGTGACATGTGCCTTTCTGAGCAGAGACACATTTGAAGATCTTAATCTATCACCTCAATTGTGGTCCCCGCTACCTTGACATCAATAAGCTGCTTCTGAGTAATTCTGTCCTGAAGCCTCACTGTTTTCTGACTCATTAATGCAGAAGTTGAGCTCTTGAATGTAAACCTGTAATAGGTAGGATCCCTCCATTCTTTAGGGTTCTAGAGAGGTTTCAAAATATCAGAGTGAAACAAGTCGAGTGCTTTCTTAAAGGGACAGGACTAATTTACCACCTTTGAGCACAAATAGATTATTTTCCTGCTTGGTTGAAGATCAAATCCAAATCGATATAAATGTTATTCCAATTTATTTTCCAGATTCTTTGTTTTTTGGAAATATGTTGTCTCTGTTACCAAAACTGCAGAGGATCAAAAAAAAGAAATATTGTTCCCTGAAGGGTCTTCCTGACTACCTGTGATCCTGTGAAGGAGCGCCGTGTCCTGGACCTCGGCAGGAAGAGCAGAGATGCGCTGACGCAGGACCAAGTCGCTGGAGGCTGCGTTCTCGAGCTCCTGCAGGGCTCGAATTAACTCTGCTGTCTGTGTGCAGAAGAGGATAAAAGTCAGGTCAAAAACAGAACATGAACTTATTATATATTTAGGCCAAAACACAAGAAACAATAAAACATATTTGTTAGCATAAATAAAACATTAAACACTACTGAAAGCATTTAGCATTTTCCGCTTCCTTTGTTCATTGATGCTCTTTTCAACGTCACCTGTGGAGGATCAGACGGGGAGCTACGAGAGGCAAAGCCTTCATCGACTGGGTGGATCTCCTCATAAGATCTTTTTTTGGGTTTCTTCTCCCCGTCTGCAAATTTGAGGTAAGAAACACGAAAAATTGTAAAACAGGATGAGAAATAAAACAAAGTTCAGAGGTTTGTGAGCGTTTATGGGTTGCAGCTGAACTTACAGAGCACCTGAGAGAGCTGCTCCAGCAGGCTGTTCTCATACACAGCTCTCTCCTGCCAGATGGATAGAACCCGACCCAGCTGTTTCTTGCAGCCCTCCTCGCCCTCCCTGCACAGAGAAATGGCAAACAAATTAACTTTCAATTCAGTAGGTGGAAATAATTCAAATACTGGACAAACCAGGAGCCAATTTATACTTCCAAGCCTGCCAGTTTTATTTGGGAAAGTCAAACCTTACCTGTTCACATGTTTGAAAGCTTCCACAATGACCGGCGCAAAGTCCTGGGTGAACTCCGGTCCTTTTCTTTTACTGTTCTGAATGACGTCGTTAGCCAAGTAAAGGAAGGTCAGCTTGCGGGATACCTGAGCTGCATGAAGATGTAAAAACATGAACGGAGCAAGTGAATGTGACGTAGAAACCAAACACTGCTTCCAACATACAGTATCCACCAGCTGAAGGCCAGTAATAATTTTCTTGATCAAATCAGGGCTCATTAAAGCTTTACATTTTCCAAAGTGGATTCACTCAAATGAGAACCAGAACAACAGTTTATTAAAATGGAGTGCAACATCTGTAGAAGATAAAATGAAATATTTAGTATATGTATGCATATTTACCCATAGAAATAAACCGATAAGCAATTTTTGAATAGTTGGGAATAAAACGATTATATTTCTGCTACAAAATCATTAAAGTAAGAGCTAGTAATGATCAAAACTTACTCTTAAATTTGATGTATAGTCTAAATATGAATCATCAGTCTTACAAATAGAATTTGTTCCAGTTTAAAGAAATATGAATCAAACATCAAAATATATTTGTATTATTTCTGGTTTACCAAATTGTAAATCGTAAGATTTAGGTCTAAAGTTGTTTGCCAATTTTTTCGCTTTCGTTTGGTTTTATTTGTTGTTTTCCTTCATGTCACACTTAAAAAGTACTCAAACTAGTAAAAAAAGAAATTGTAAAAGGTTGTTTGAGTAAAATGAAAACAAGAAGTGTTTCTATTTAAAGACTAATGATGTTTTGACTAACTGAGGTGAGAATAAATCTAAGGAGAGAAACCAGCTCTATCCTCCCCTGTCTGTCAGATCCACCTGAAACTACAAAATCCACCTGAGATATCATTAGGACGCTGCACGGGATCCCTACAGAAAAGTCCGCTATTAATAGCAGCTCCTAACATGGCCACAACACTTTAGTCTTTTTAGTTTACAAAATAAAAAAACATTATCCTTTTGCCATGACTAAACTTTATAGAGACTTAGTTAAATAGCTGAAATACAGATTTAGCATGTAATAGAAACAGATGGAGCAAACTGCATTAGACCCTCATCTTCTTTAAACATATTATTTGAGGTCATTCACATCAAGTTTCTGAAATAGTTTATCATCTTAATTCAGTATTCTAATAATATTTCTTTTGCATCTTAACTTAATAAAAAATGCATGATCATGTCAAGTTTTTACCCTAAGGGAAAATTTAATCTGTTGATATTTCTCCAGGTACTACCTGCCTTGAGTCTCCTAAGATAAAAAATAAAATATAAGATTTAGTTATTTATTTACAAAATTATAAGTGTTCCTTCTTTATCAATAATCATTTATCTTTATTATTAATATTACTTGTGCCACCAAAATCCCAAAGAGTGATCTAGTAGGGAAACTTAATACATTTTGTAGCTAAAATATCATACCCCAATTAGCTTCTATTTAATATTTAAGAAAACACATTAAAACGTGATAATTTAATAAATATTTTATTTTGTTTTTATTGAAAACAAAAAAAATCTTTACCAAAATCGTACATCTGTTAGTATCATTAATCATATCAATCAACAAATCATAAAAAAACATTATTTTTATTATTATTGCTATAATATAGTTAAAGAAAAAAACTGGTCCAAATATAAATATTCATTATGGTTAATTAGGAATAATTGATATTCGGTTAGAAAACTAATATCCAACATGATGTCTTCTAAAAGTTTGCTGGATTTTTCCAAATAACTTATCTTAACTAGCTTTAGCACGATCAATTGAAAGTTAGCATGTTGAAAGCAACAAACCTAACAATAAAATTAAATTAAGCTAAACTAGTTCAGTTTAGAGTTAGCCTGAGCTAACCTGCAGCCACATGGAAAGTGTTGCAGTTGTTTACTTCAACTTTACCTTTCTTCAGTTCGTTGAACCACACAGTGACGATAGTCTTCGAGTGTTTTCTGTGGTGGATGAGCCAGAGCGACAGCGTTTGCACACTTTGCTGAGAGTTGCTAAGCTCGGATAGTTTTTTCTCTAATGCCGCCTCGGAGAAAGCAGACATCTCGACCAGGTGAGTAGAAAGCACTGCGGGAGGCAGCTTTAGGCTCCTCGGAAAGGCCTCCTCTGTATCGGGCTAATCGATCAGCTCATTAATTATTGGCACCTTTTAAAAATACTACAGCAAACGGTGGATAGCTGAGAGCATTTGTTCATGCTAACCAGCCACCGCCGCCCTCTTGCTGGAGCTCCGAGGTCTTCGCGAAGGGGGCGGAGCTACGCTTCCGCTTTCTGCTTAGATGTTGCGTTCAAGTCTAGAGGAAATTGCAGAGTCTCTTCTTCTTTGTTAGATTGGGGGATTGCAGACAACTTATAGGTGCATACCGCCACCTACTGTACATGAGTGTGTAGCTCTATAGTTCCACCTACTATATTCTATTTTTGTGTTAAGTAAAAATAAAAACAATGCTTTATTAATAACCATATTTTCCTCCCTATCTCCATCTGTCCCTACAATTCCTTTAATACTCCATTCTCTCCCTTTTTCCATAATTACTTTCCTCATCCTCTTTCTTTGTTGCATATTTAATGCAATCCATCGAAACATGATCCACATTTTCATTTCTTTCACAACCCTCACATATATAATTTCTCTTCCCTAGTACAAACAAAAACTCATTAAAGTAGATATCTCTAGTTCTTAATCTAGTATAAATGATCTCTTCCCTTCTGCTTCTTTCTCCATAATTTCTAACAATTACAGATTTTTTTAAACCTATATAATCTTCATCCCATATTTTTTTGCCATATTTCTGTTTTTTTCTTTTTAATTGTTGATTTACCTTTCCCTTTTCCCAAATAGAATCTGATCTATATTCTGCTTTCTTAAAGCCTTTTTAGCTATCTTGTCTGCTATTTAATTTCCTCTCACCCCTTCGTGTGCTGATTACAGAGTCGCACAAACAGGATGTGTTCAACTATTTTTCTTTTTCCGAAAATTAATGACGCAGTTAATATGAAAGCAATCTATTTGAATTTGGGTTTTAGGTCTACATATGTGTGAGTGACTTTATATATATTACATGATCTAATCACACTTTTAGCACACTTATATATAGGGCATCTCCATCATGGAATATAACATAATCCGGTTATCCAGCTGACAAAGCCTTAAATGGCCAAGCTCCATCTTATATCAGAGATCTGATTGTTC